GGATAGGGATTGGGATTGGGATGGGACTGGGGATGTGGCTGTGTGCTGTGTGCTGCGGCCGTGTGCCCCTGCGCTACCAATCGAACGCTGCTCGGCAATGGGGAGTTGCAGGAAGGGAAGGAACCACAGGGTCCGACCGACCCCGGCGCTAGTTCTGGCGCTCGTGTTCGTGCTTGCTGGCTCTTTCGTACTCGCCACAGTCTCGAGCGCTCTCTCGCTCTCTGTCTATCTCTTGGCAAAGCTTTCGTTCGTTCTGCTGCATATCGTCCTGTCTCTGTCTTGTCTTTTAAGCCCGTTCACGTAGCTCGTTTTTCCTCGCTCGTCCGCCGTTGCCCCGTTGCCTCGTTTATTTATGATTATCTGTGTACAACTTGTTTCATGTTCATCGCATGTCGATGATGGCTGTGCTCCAGCATAGAGAGAGCATCAGGCAGTATCTATCTGGTCTGGTCGTTACACTCCAGCATTAAACCCTGCCCCAGGTGCACACATAGACACGGACACAGCTACAGATACAGAGATAGTGATAGAGCAAAGGCAGAGGCAGAGACAGAGGCAGAGACAGAGGAACACACCTTTTGCCGAGTTGTTTTTGCCGTTTGCTGGCAGCTTGCTGCTTGCTGCTTGCTGGTTCTTCTTCATTAATGGCTGGTTGGTCGGTTAGCTGGTTGGCTGCATTTCTGGCCCACTTGCAACTTGCAACATCCTCGGATTGTAGTGCTGCAGTTATGGTGTTATGGCCAAGCCATAAGACACAAGCCCAAGACGAATGCAAAGGTTTGCTCCTCCCAGACAACAGTCAAGGCCCCAACTTGATGTACACACATCTATTTCTGTACATATGTTCCCATTTCATTCCAGCATTTGTATCTTAATAATGAACTCGCAACTCCTTTAAGAAAATCAATCAAAAACTTTGCCACAGCCCAAAACTTTGCCTGAAGGAAAACAGAAGGCTGCCTGCAGATACCCGAGTAAATCAATATCCGATCCACTTGATTTTGGTGGATTGGTGCGGACTGGGAGGTGGTAAAACAAACCGCAGTCTCAGTCTGAGTCTCAGCCCTTCCTCTAAGCTCCAAGCGACGATGCCGACGAGTCAAAGCGATTACACCAGAGCGGAGCACCCAAGCACCTTTTCATTTGTATCTATTAGATTAAGATTCGTGTCGTACGCACACACGGCGCTGCCTGGCTACACGCGCTTCCCTTGTACACACACACACACACACACACACACACACACACACACACAGAGAGAGAGAGAGAGATACAAGAGATACGGGGAGCTGGGGCAGAACTGTGAGAAAAGTGCCGAGAAAGTTGAGCCTCAAAGCTCACAATCGTCATTGGCTCTGCACAAACACAAATGCCAAATGCCTTCTGGTAGTAACAACCTGAGCGGTGCTGTTGCTGCCACTGCCACTGCCACTGCTGTTGCAAGCACAAGAAAAGATACACACGTACACACAGGTACATATGTACACACAATCTGTGTGTGTGTGTGTGTGTGTGTGTGTGTGTGTGACGAGGCGAAAAGATACGAAAGGCAGCCCAAAAGCTGCCACTGCTGCTGCTGCTGCTGCCATCAATACTCGTACAACTACAACACACAGAGAGATACAACGCTGCCTCGCTGCCTGCCTCATGCTCTGTGGCAACACGAAAAACACAAAGGATACAAATATATCTCGTGTTCGAAATATAAAAATCGTTAAACAAAGACTGAACGTTGTTTCTGGATTTGGATCGACTGCGACTAACGACTGCGGACTGGCAGTGGCAGTGGGATGGCAGCGTGGCAGTGGCATGTGGCAAGCGGAGTGGGCGACTCCGGGCATCATCTTGCCCTCCCGCTTTTGCTTGCGGCCTTTGGGGGCAACTTTTCCATGCCATATCTAGCTCTCGCTCTCTCTCTCTCGTTCTCTGGCCTCTTAGCGCCAGTAAGCGACTGTGTGCCCGCCCCCCCCTTGGGGCTGAGCCCGAAAAAGACTGGTGGCCAATCTCGCGCCTCCCCCTCCTGCACCACACACACCGCCCCACGACTCCAGTTGCGGCTCTGCGGTTGCGAGTGTCATGGCCGAGCCGTGCCGGGGAGCTGCTGCTTGGAGTTTGTTGTTGGAGTCCCCGTGGAGAAGGCGACGGCAATTTTGTAGTCGCGCCAATGACTTGACGTGATCTGAATTTGTTGCCTGCTCGCGAGCCAATTAAGGCCGCACAACGTTGAAAGATGCTCTGCGCCGGGGATCCTTTTCTCAGTTGGCAGGATCTGCCAAATGATTATCAATTATATTCACGGGGTATGCAGTACAATATTTTCACTGATTTTGGTTTACATTTGCTGTTGTGGTGTGCCTGGCAATGTCCGTTAGCAATGTGAATGCGGGAAAAGGTGGAGGTCTGGGAAGGAATTTTAGTAAGTAAAGGGAAGTCAATTTTCGGTTTAAATTTATTTGATTACAAATGTATAATAAAGGGGAACCAAATCTAGATATGGAAGTTTTTTTCCATATTTTATTTTATATTTTTACCGAAATCGAATGTATGTTTCTCTTTATAATATTTGTATATTTTTTAGATGTTCCACAAATAATGCTTAATCATGAATTGATGCCCCTTCTGACCTTCAAAATTAACTGCATTTCCGTGTTGACAATATTGCGTATACGTAATGCAAATGCCTATACGAAGAACGCCTCTTCAAACAGCTTTTTGATGGGAATCGCAATGCTTAAGGATTCCATTAAAGATCTCAAACTTATCCTATTGGTAATATGAGTACCTCCACCATTGATCTCTGCACATGCAGCGCAGAAGTACGAGTATGTTGCAGGCAACTTTGGCGATCGAAAGATCGTTGAAAAACAAATGACTATTGAGGCAAACTAGTTGTTAATGGCTTAAGGAGGAGGGAGCAGGGGCTGGAGCTGGAGCTGGAGCTGGAGTACACGTACAAAGTGACTTCATTCAAATGTTGTAAGACTTTGTTTACTGCGTGTGCGACACCATGTGGCAGTGGCAGGGGGTAGGGGGTGTGCCACCGATTGCCTGCCACGACAAAGTAGCTTTCGAATATAGTCTACATCCATCCCATTTGTGTGTACGAGTACGAGTAGCTGAGTACATAGGTACATTTGTAGAGGGGGTTGGATGGTTGGATGGTTGGATGGTTGCACGGTTGGAGGGGGTGTGCGAGGGGTACATGGGATATACAGACTTATAAACGACGTGTCAGTGGTGTAGCCATCCCGCTCTAGCAGGCAGGCAGCGCCGTCACTCCTCTCGAGTGGCGTTTCAATTAATTAGAAAAAGTTAAAGAAACGCCACGGAAAGAGGCGAAAAACAGAGCACAAAAAACAGAAGAAAGAAACAAAAAAAAAGCAGAAACAAATACCTACATAATAAAATGTAAGAGCGTATGTTGTAGATGTAGCAGCAGCAGCAGAGGCAGCAGAGACAGCAGCAGCAGCAAACGTTGACTGCGGCAGCGCGAAAGATGCCACCAATCCCAGCAGCAGCAAACAGCCAAAGCGGTCAGTGGCAGTGGGAATGGCAGTTGGCGGGTGGCAGATGATAAAACATTACCCATCGCCACAGTGTACAGAGGTACTACGTGCAACGACAGCAGCAGCAGCAGCAGCAGCAGCAGCAACGGCAGCAGCATTTGGCCCAACCTCTTCTTCACGACTTTCGTTTCGTTTCGTTCATGTTCATCAAGCTTTTTCTTATTTCATCGAGCAGCAGGCAGCAAGAGAGTGAGTGGGAGAGTGGAGCGGAGCGGAGCCAAACACTTTGCTTTCATACGTCGCGACGTTCTCGTGTTGTTGTTGTGTTGTTTATGGCAACAAATACACGGCAGCAACACCCACGGCAGCAGCAGCAGCAGTCGCAGTCGTAGCAGCAGCAGCAGCAGCAGCAGCAAGTAGCAGCGTTGCAACGGAGGCAGCAACAGCAACAAAAACATTGCCTTACAAATACATACATCGGCATTTACAACAACACGCAATAACAGCCATTTTTCTAGTTGTTAAGTTAATTTTTTCATGTTCTCTCTCTGGCCGGGGCCACATCTTGCCGCACCGCTCGCACTCAGCGCCAAGTGCCAAAGAGCGAGGCGAAGCGCAGCCAACAGCCAACAACTGCCCTGGTCGTTGTCGTCGCTGCTGCTGCTGCTTGTGCTGCTGCCGAATGCGATTCGTGGCCCAGACCGGGCACTTGCTATCTCACTCTAGCACACCGCAACTGCCAGATACTTTATTTATGGTCACAGCAGCAGCAGCAGCAGCAGCAGCAGCAGCAGCAGCACAGGCAGACCAAGCAGCAGTTGAGATACTTTTTGTATGTTGGCCTGCCCCTCCGTCCGGATGTGTTCCCATGACGCAACCGGTTCTCGGTTACCATCTTCTCGCTCGCACTCACAGTACGTGTCACACACACACACACACACAGCTACAGCTTTAGCCACAGAGCCTGCCCCAGCGCCAGCCCACTTATAATGATAATCATTATTGCCGTTGTTACGCTCCGTGTTGGCTGTTCGTCGTCATCGTTCGTACGAGTACGAGAACTCGGAGTACACACACATGCACACTCGTTCTTTTTCAGATACTCACACACACATACAGAGAGAGCCACCACCACCACCAGATACAACAGCAATACCAGCGCACACTGCTGTGTGTGTGTGTGTGTGTGCCTGCAGAAAGAGTAAAAAGTAAGGGGGAGAAACAAGTTTTCTGTCGCTCTCTCTCTGTCGCTCGCTCACCAATACCTTGAGGCTGTGCACTGGTATGGAGTATCTGTGTGCTGCTGCTGCTGCTGCTGCCACTGCTGCTCTCGTCGTGGTGGTGGTGGTGTGCGGCATGTAGCTGTTGTTGTTGCTGCCTGCTGCTTGCTGCTTGCTGCTGTTGCTGTTTTTCGCTGTTTTCGATTGTCGGTTGTCGTGTAATTCCCATTTGTCGTACACTTTGTAGTTGCTCAAGAAACTCATGTTAGTCTACTTTCGACTGTTACGCAGATTGTTCGTATCGTTCGTGTGCTGTGCCGACTGTGCTGTGCTGTGCTGTGCTGTGCCGCCCGTGCTTGTGCCCTGTGCCTGTGCCTGTGACTGCCTGCCGCTTGGGTTTCGTCTGCTGCGCGCCGTCGCTTCAGGTTGTGCTGCCTGTGTGCCTGTGTGCCTGACTGCCTGCCAGCTCCTCCGCATTGGTTCGTATTCCGACAACACACACGACTCTTCGGTCTGGTCTCCAAACTCCGGCTCCAACCCATCATCGTCGTCGTCTTCCGTTGCCGCCGCCGTCACACAGCCGTCGCGGATTTGTGCATCTCCACTAAGCCGTGCCCGTGCCCGTGTACGTGCCCGTGTACGTGCCCTGCCGTGCCGTGCCCCGTAGTACTGGATTGCTATTTGTGGCTGCAACTGAAACTGAAACTGTAACAACGCTCGAGCCGTCGGCAAAGTGTCTCGCCGCGCCCCCACACAGTGTGCAAAAACATCCCACAACAAATACTGAGACTCCGTCGCGCCAATGTGCTAAAGCAAAAAAAACAACAAAATATTCAACCATTAAAAGGCAATTGTGAAATAATTATACATAAATGAAATCCCCACAAGTATTCGACATGCAATCAGCTCACAGCTAAAGTTTACAACAAAACAAACAGCACCAACAAAATCACTTATCGAATTATTTGGCAGTGCGTTAGTTTGCCCGTGAATTTGAGAGTTCTAGATCTAGATCGGGACTTCCAGAATACTTTCAAGTTTAAGTTAAGAGCGAGTAAAAAATAAATATTAAATGACAGTGCACAGTAATGAAACCGGTATCTGTTTAGTAATGGTGCGTATAAAACTTGGAATTACTACTACTTTTTTACAGCCATTTGGGGATATTTCTCAAGATGCTGGAACCACTAAATGTTGGCATAATTCAGCGTTCATTCATAGAGAAAACTATTGTGTAATTCTCTCTATGTGGGAGAGAGCAAAGTCTAAACTGACTGAGGCAAAATTCTGCCTATCCCGATCAAGATGATCATTAAGAAAGGATTAAGCTGCGGAATTTTAGATGATGTACCTTTGAACCACCTTCCCGTACTAACTACATTTGCCATTTGGATACACATCTACAGAGAGTTACATAAATTCTATTGTCAGACAGCACTTGTTGATCAAAGACAGACCACAACACGAATTTACTAGATTTGAAATCAACGGCAGGCTAAAGAGCGAAAGGAACATAGAACCGAGCACTTGTCAGACACAGTATTTAAATATATAAAAATATATAAGATAAAATGTATGTACCTTTGTTTCACTCGCTCGTTGAGCGTGTAAATTGATTTGGCAAAAGGAAATGTACTTAAAAATAAATTAAAGTGGATGCCTTACAATCGATTGTCTGCCAAGTCCACAGTGGATTTGGCAAATGTCAGGACCACAAATGTGCTACATTTGTTCTTAGCCACTCAACGACAACTACAAACGTCAGACATCATTCTACAGTGTGGAATCTAAAGAGAAAATGTCTCTCGAAGGTCAGCAAATTTCAATCCAATAAGATTCTGAGACACCCGAGACTCTTCCTCGGCTCAGACTCGTAAATAGTACATGAGCAAGAGGCCTGTTTGGTAATCCGATCGACTGGAAAATGTGGCAAGTTAATGCTGTATGGTTGCGCCTCTCTTTCTTGCCCAAATGTAAACTTGGAATGCAACTTGTGGCATGGCTGCAACCGCAAATGCAACTCTCAGCGAGAACTCTTTCTTCTCATTAAGTTCCATTAATCTTGGAGTAAATATTACTGAAAAATATGATTATTCCCTTGCCCCCATCACTTGTGTCATTCTATCCATCATCTATGCATCGCTTTCGTTTCCAATTTCAATGTTCGAGGAGTTGGAGTGCTACGCTTATTGGAACCTCTATAGATATACGTACCACTGGGAAGCGATAATCATCGGCGGCGGATTCAAAGTGGCAGCTGATAACACCCGCCGCTGCTGGCGATACATTTTCCATTGGGCAACACAAACACCGGGAATTAATTTTTAATCGTATAGGGCCACTTGAGTTGTCACTCGATGAAAGCACGAGACGGGCAGAGGGAAACGATCCCTATGCATGTACTGCAGGGCGTTTCATCTAGGGCCAGGCGGCGGAGTATCAATCATTGTTTGGTCTCGGCCGCCGTCCCGATACATGGAGCGAGCGATTTGACCGTCGGTTCTGCGATAAAAATCGTATCTTACGCCTTGGATCATTTGTAAAATGTTAAATGGGAAATGCAAAGAGAGAGAGAGAGAGAGAGAGAGGGAGAGAGAAGAAGCAACCCAAAGCACCAAACCGAAACCCAGGAAAAAGTTAACACAAGCAAACCAAAGAGACAGCAGTCAAGTCAACGATAAACAAACCTGAAAACTTGTCCGCGGATGCGTCCCTCCATGTCTCCACCATGTACACACGAGTATTGGCTGCAAGTATTGGTGTGTGTTGTGTTGTGTTGTGTAGTGTAATGTGTATTGTGTTCTCTTTGCCGTCTAAAAGTGTTGACAAAAGTGCGCGATAGGCTTATGTGCCGGCAGTGTGCACACAGCGCCGCAGAGTCCAAGTCCGAGTACGAGTACGAGTACGATCCCCGGCCAGTCATTGGACAACTTACAATCAAATTGCTCTTAGGACGTTGTTGCCGTTTGCCATCGATGTTGTATGTTGGCCTGTGGATGTTGTCGATGTCTTGAGGCACTGCAGAGTGCAGTTCAGCTGTTGTTGCTGTTGCTGTTGCTGTTGCCGCTGTCGTCGTTGGCAGCAATCGGCTGTGTAATTTAAATCAATGTTGTCAATCGAAAACATGATTTGTTGGTAATGGCGGCCCCACTTTGAAGATCCGTCCGCCGATCCATCGAAGGGGTCTTCGAGTTCAGCGAGAGAGTTCCATTTTATTGACTGAGACAGCAGCAGCAGCAGCAGCAGCAGCAGCAGTGGAGATGGTTTTGAAGGGCCCCAGTGCAGGCCCATAGACTTGTATTATGTATACCTACGAGGAGACGCGCTTATCGCATTGATAAGAGTCAACGTTTTTAATTAAGTTTTAGTGCCAGCTGGTAGCTGGTAGCTGCAAACACGGTACAGTAGACAGACAGACACACAAACCCACTGTAGACCATCGAACTTGTATCCAGTGAAAGAAAAAGCAACAGCAGCCACTGCCATCAACTGCCATCAACTGCCATCGGCTGCCATCGCTTTTAATGGTTCGCCATAAACTCAAAAATGAATTGGATAACAAAAAACTAATTTGAGGATCTTTTTTTAAAAGATAGAAGCCAAAAAATAGAAACCCTTTTAGTGATGATCTTGCTCTAAAGCTTTTTTGGTTGTGAAAATGATTAGCATAATTTTAGTAATTTAATTCAGATTTATGATAATTCAAATGAAAAAAAATTGACTCATTGGCGGATGATCATGAAATCTTGTAGATCATGAGCTCCCACTCGCCAATCGCTGAGGTGCACATTGCGGAGACAAGAACTTCAATTGGGAAATTGACAGAGATAGATCATTGAAGATATCAAATAAAACAAATCACTTATCATCTTATCACTTATCAAATCAATTTTTATATTCAATTATGATCGTAGAAATTACAGATTAAATATTAGAGCAGTTTTACTCGTAGTTCTTTGGAATGCATTAAGCAAATTTTAGTGTATAGAATTCTGCATTACATTTGAGAGCTCGTGGGTTAAATATGTACAGACTTATGTAAATGCACTATAGATGTACATTTTTACATAAATACGTACATATTTATTGCTGCAAGTGTTTGATCTTGACATCTTAATAGCGAAACAGCAACACCCCTTCAATTATTTAAATGTATATTAAAACCAAGTTCTCACTACGAATACTGATCACATTTATTGCTTTTATCTTTTATATATTGACAGAATGCCGTTTCAACTCACCTTGCCACTTCATCGCCCAACACACCTCCAACCAACGCGCCGTCGCAGACCCCTCCGTCGACGGTGGCGACACTAGCTTGCCCCGCCAACCAGCAGCCATTGGGTACGCCCGTGTCCGGGCCCGGTCACAGTGGCATGGTGACGTCTACGGTGCCGCAGGGAGCGCGCTCCACCTCGCCATGCGGTGCGGCAGCGGGACTGCCGGCACTGCCCGTGCTCGGCCAGCCGCCACCGGGACAGCCGCACTCATCCGGTCCACAGCCACCGCCCGCCTCTGCCAATCCGAATCGCTGCTGCGACACGGGTCGCACCATCTACACGGATCCCGTCAGTGGTCAGACGATCTGTTCCTGCCAGTACGATATGCTCAACTACCAGCGGCTGGCGGCGGCGGGTGGCGTACCGCTCGGCGTCTACCCCGAGGGCATGTCTGCATACCTTTCGGGCATTGCCGGCGATCAACCTCCGTTCTACGCTAATCCGGTAAGTAGTACCCCTCCTCCTCCCCGATCCTCAGACTCCGACTCGGACTCGGACTCGTGCTCGGTCCAGTCTGGTCTGTTCATAAGTCATATGACTGAACAATGGTGCAATAAATTTGTGAATTTGTCCAGCGTCGGAGCGGCAGACCACCATCGGCGTCCACGTCCACGTCCACGTCCACGTTGGCGTCTGCGTCTGCGTCGTCGGTTCGTTGTCGTCTCCTTCGTCATTTGATCGTGTACCCAGTCTATGGGCTACACTGGCTTCCGAACCAGTGTTGTCCGTCGTCTGCTCTTGGCTTTTGGTTTGCGCTTTAAGCAGCCCAGCGAGCGATTTGTCAGGCCTTGGAGCCTAGAGCCTCTATGGCAGGCTGACCTCTCATTTGGCCCGTGTGGTGTGCGCTTTGGGTGATATTTCAAGCCACATTGTGTGTGGCAGGCTCGACCTGGGAGACTCCAGCAGAGACTGGCCCGAGCCTAAAGTAGACATTTTTCTCGACAATGGGACACGTCTCTGACTCGGCCCACATGTCCGGCGCTTTGGCCGCCGACGGCCCTTTTGTTCGTCCTTTTACTTCTAATAGAACATCGTGTAATTTGGCCTTGTGTGTGTGTGTTGCCAACAATTCTATTTGGTTACAATACTTGGGGACCACATGCGGCGCACAATGATTCAGGTACGGCACCCATTTAGTTACCCACAAATTTGTAGTTGAAATTGGAGAAATATTCGTATCAATATCCATCTGGAGGAGGCCCCTTTTTTGCACTCAACTTGCCTCAAAAATGAGCCAATAAAATGTGAACACATTAATTTATTTGCTTACAAGTCAAAAAAAAAAACCAAAAAGAGAATCTCAAAAGTTGACAAACAGCAAAAAGAACAGAAGCAGAGACAGAACTCGCAAGAGAAATGCTGACATTCGCTGAAACTGAAACTCGCGGTTTAATGAATGGTATGATCCGTTGCGTACATATATCTTGTATATATGTATCTATATCTGGTGTATTTGTCACTACCGGGGTTCAGTAAATTGAGCTTCAGTCTTCGCACATACTTTTCCCCGCTCGATTATTGCATATTTCAACAAAATTAGATCCAACTTTGTTTTAGTGGAACAAACTCTAGTAAATCATTGAGGCTCGTGTTTTGGTGTTGCTCGCATCGTTTCGGCTATCAACAATGCCCAAAATTAAATATGCAATATTCATTCGCATTTGAACTCGTTTTTTGGGCACAACAAACACTGCAACAACAGCGAATAAAAACTTGTATATAGTAAAAACCGGTCGAGTGCCACAGTAGCCGCTATTTTGTATAAATTTTAGTTGCGTGTATTTGCGGTATTCTTTGTGTATTGTGCTGTGTGCTGTGTGCTGTGTTGGAAATCATGAGAGTGGCATTCGAAAATCCATCGATAAATGATTAAGCGCTGCCCAAACCCCAGCTCCCTGGCACAGACTTGTGCCCAAGAGCGCTGACACAGCCATTTGATGGAAATGTCAGCACTACGACGAGTAATTCCACGCACTTCTTCAATGGATCGAGGATTTACACACACACACAAATACAATTGCCATACGAGTGTGCCCATATTGATAGCACCATTTAAAAGACAAACTGTATGGGTCGCGTCTTTGGTAATATAAATCATCCGTGCCTCGTAATTAGTCACTTTTGGGTGTTGCTGCGACGCTCTGGCACTTTGCCGCCGGCGCTTAGATCCAACGCCTAAACTGGAGCAATTTCTCTTTGCATCTTCCAGGGGGTTTTCGGTGGAGAGCATATGATTCCGGCAGAGTTGTAAAAGTGTCTGCTCAATGCGGTGGATTCATTACTTTGACACGAGCTGTCAAGCGGCTGTCAGTTTGCCGCAGCGCGGGAATATATTTCTATATATTTCACGGCACGGCACGGGACTACCACTGGCACGGGGACTCTTTGACTTTTGCTCTAAATGGGAAGATGGTGTACAAATGGTCGAAGGTGGATGTCGCATGGTGTAGGATATGCTGAATGGTGGATGATGGTGCAACCGCGCTGTAGCGGCATCGCTGTCAAGATACATTTGAAGAGCCGCCGCCGCCCGCTAACAAATAGGCCGACCCAAAGGCCGCGCCCGGAGTTTCCTCCTGCTCTGTGCTCTGTGCTGTGTGTGTGTGTGTGTGTGTGTCGGGGGCGTCGTCGACTGCTGCTGCTGCTGTAACGTACCTTATTAATAAATTTGTCAACACGCAAGTGACAGGCTGTCCGCCTGCGACTTGCCCCCAGCCTGCCGTCACATCACTATCCGTCAAATTATTTATCCCTAAGGTTGAAGTTGTCGACGACCCGAACTCTGTATGTCTGTCTGTCTTACTTAGAGCAGGCAGGCAGCAGCACAATGTTGCATGCTACTTACTCGTACATAGGTTCAGCTGCACTTTTTATAATTAGTTTCCTTAGAAGTCTAATGAGGGAATGGAACACATTCCCAACGATCTGCATGCAATGGCAGCGCCTGCTTTTAATAAAGTTCCTTGGGAGAGAACGATTTCTCGTTTATTAATTGAGTTGAAGCTACTCAGCTACTCAGGGACAACCATTTGGCTTCATTTGTACACAGCAAGGATGGCATCTAAACACACTCAGAACACTCTCTGTGTGGGGTGTCTAAGCACTTGACGCTTGAGGAGAGGATGCTACATGGTATATTGACTTTTCCATAGCTTAAGTGCCGCTACATCATCAACGACAACAATGCAAGCATGAAATTTCACACTCGGCAACATAGTACAACTCTCTCTCTCTCTCTCTCTCTGTGACGACAACAAAGGAGGCTGCTGCTGTCGGGCCAAATGTGCTACATTCATGTCCTGTGGGAGCTACAAAAACTTTTGCCTTTTGCCTCCTTCTGGCTTTTTGGCAAAGTTCTCTTACAGAATGTAACAGCAAGGCACCAACTACAAATCGGACCACAGGCCGTAGTACCCCACTTGCATTATGCCCGAAAAACCAACCCCCAAAAACAAGACCCCAACACTCCAGATTCACAGCCAGAACCAGAATCAGCCTAGCCTCTCCTCTCTATCTCTCTCACTCTCTTTCTCGCTGTCTCTCCTCTGTACATCTCCATCTCCAAAGCTCACTTTGAGCTTCGGTCTCTCCATGCCGTTGTGTGTTCCTGCTTGCTGCTGGAGGGGGGTGCTGGAACTGGAGGGGGGGTACATGCACTGATTTGTCAACTTTCAAAATGTCGAAGTGGTGTCGTGTTGTTTTGGGGGTTGCTCCAGGGCTCTGGGGCTCTAATGGTTGAGGCGACGGTTGGGAGCAGGAGGGGGGCTTGAGCCTGGCAAGTACTAAATACATTTACGGGCTCTCCCTCTCCCTTACACTCTCTGACACCCATCCTCGTTGTTGTTGCAGTAAGTGTTGTGGAAAGTTTTTGTGTTGCTGCCGTTGTTGTTTGGCTTTTTGGCAAAGTTGAGAATGTTCGTTAACAGTAAATTTTGCACTTTTATATGGTACACACTCACGCACACACACACACACACAGCACATTATACACACCCACAAATGAGGGACGCGAAGAAGGGCAGGAAAAGGCAACCCCAGAGGCAGGGCAGGGCAGGCTCTGCTCTGTACGCTGTAAGCCTGAATGGTTGCCTACAACAAACAAATTAGCAGTCATGGCAACAGAACATACAAGAGCCACAATACCAAGGCGGCAACTACAGCAACAACAACAACCACAACAATTGTACAACTTTATAAACTTAATAAGAAACGAGCCAAGAAAATGTCACCGAGCTGGGTTCCAACTAGCACTAGGCACTCGGAAGTCGCAACTCCAAGACTCGTAGACTCGTCAATTTCAATTTCAATTTCAATTTTCTCGATTGTGATTCTGATGCCCATTCTGATTCCGATTCCGATTCCGATTCCGAAATCCAAATACGATTCCATTCATTCTTTAGGTCGGTCGTGGCCGTCGCCGACGGCAGAGCTGCCTCGGGGCGGGAATGCGCCGGATAAACGTGCGTTTATTTTTAAATCGAAGCAGCAATTAATTAACTCGACCCGTCATTACGCGCATCGTTCAAATTGTGGCGCATCAGGGCGACAGACCACAGGAGCCGGTCGCGGAGCGAGCAGCGCACCAAGTCGTTCCTTTACATTGTCGTCGCCTGTCGTTAGGTCTAACCAGAACAAAAATGTCCATTGACGTTTTTCGGTGTGAAGGGTACACAGTCTCAGAATTTTCAGTCGTAATGAAGATAAACAGTCGCTCGCAATTCAATTTGAATTATTTAATTTGCCAGTCACAGCCAGCAGTGGAGGAGAGGCAGCAGAACAGCAAACAGAAATCGCAACATACATTTGCTGCAGCTCAAAAGTGGGGTAATCTGTGCTTGGATTATCTTAGATAGTGCATAAATACTACTTACGGAATGTACACGTATCGTTTCGGTGCAATCTTCAGTACAAAACTTGTAAATACAAACTGCAGTTGTTCGCTGGTAATGCAATATGGAACCCAAGCCCGAAGACAAGTGGCAGCAGGCAGCAGGCTGCAGGCTGGAGGCTGGAGGCTGACTTCTGCATTGCATGACACTGTGTATTGGTAATAATAAACGCAGATGCGAACATGTCGAATCTTGTTAATATTAACCACCGCAAGCGCATTCGCAAGTCGACACAAGAGGCGTGCAGTTGCAGTTGCAGTTGCAGCAACTGTGTCTCCCGGCTGTGTTCCTGGCAACAGTAGCGCTGAGGACGCGCAGAACTTGCCGCTCTATTGCTGTGTGTAGTAGCCGGGTCCCAGCTACAATTTATTATGTACGCTTTACCCGCATGGACATGGCCAGTACACGCACTCCACACCGCTCCAAACACGCACGACACAGATTCAAAAGAGCCAAAAAGCAACACAGAGACACAGAGACACAGAGCTTGCAACTCTGTTGCAGGCTGGCTCTCTGGTTTTGGCCGGGCCTCACTTTTGGCAGTGGACTCGCGAATGATTGTTGTAAAGGTTGTAAGAAACCGGTTCGGATTTCGGCCCATTGAGAAATAGGAACCGAACCGAACCCAACGCAACGCAACGCCGAAGCAGAGCGCAGAGCGCAGAGATCAGCGCCCATCCGTTCGCTGTAATTTAATATAGTGTACGATGTTGTGTACGGATGTGTGTAAGGATGTAGTGTACGATGCCCAGGCTAAATGACTGCTCTTGGGTACCGTTCTGGTCTGCTCCGACATGGATTTCTGAACTGCAGTTTGTTGGTTTTGGCCTGCAGTAGGCTTGGACCTGTCAAAGGGCCTTGCCTTGGGCACTGCCATCGCCTTTGGCTTTGCTTTTGCCTTTGCCTGCTGATCTTTCTGTTGCTGTTTATCAGTCTATCGTCGCTGTACTTGTACTCAACCCCATGCTGCGCGAACCAGGACCTGAACAAACCCCACCTCTCTCCCAATCCCTATAGCAAACCCAATCCAAGTGCAAGAGGCACAGCCACAGTCGCAGTCGCAGTCGCAGTCAGAACCCGTCGATGGTCGATGGTCGGTTGATAGCGGTTGGGAACAGCAAACATTTTCGTGTTGGCGACATAAAAATATTTCCGCTTTGGCAGTAATCTTGCCAGACGTTCGTCGAGACGACCGACACCGACGGGTAATGGCAGGGCAACGGGAACGGCATCAGTTTGGTGTCGCCTCTGCCTCTGCCAGACAATAGATTTTGTATTGTACAGAAAAGTGAGGAGAAGAGACCTGCATACTGTGGTGCATCCTGCCTGCCTGACTGCGTCGTCGTCGTCGTCCTGCGGTGCCATGTAGATGTCTATCGCTCAATTCTTATTGATTTCGCATCTTGTTTTGTGGTACACCCGCTGACCAGCCTAAACCAAACGACATTGACTGAATTTTGACGGTGCATTTCATTTGGCAATATATAAAATGTACACACAGTAAAGCCAAATGAATACTGGTCTAGTTTTCAGTTCGGAAATGAGCATTAAATAAAGTATATGCATGCAGGCAGGCAGCCAAGTGTCTGTCTGTCTGTCTGTCTACGCCAGACAATATTCTGTGCGCCATCTTCGCTTCATTATCTGTTGGAAAACGGCAAACAGCTGACAACTGTCGCATCGAATTAAGTCAAGACAAGACAGTATTAGTAGTAAACGTGTAGCCTTATCTATATACTATAAAACAGAACACAGACAACGTACAGGAGGCTCTGTTGAAGTGCTCTATAGCCATGGAAGAGGAATGCTCTAATGCTCTTTCCATTGGACATTTATCGAGACATGCAAATAGCGATTTCCATGGGGCATAGGTATACTATTTATGTGCACGCTGAGACTTAACACAGAAATGCAGACACAATGCTGATGTTGAGCTTTCCAGTTGCTGCTGAAGCCCCACGTCTGGGGCACATGTTCAGCGATGCTGTTCAGATTGTCGCCTTATCAGTTAACGCAGCACTCGTCACAGTGGGCTGAAAACATGCTAAAACTCACACTAAATACATGTAGAAAATACCATTTATTTATATGTTCCATCAGCTTTAACTCAAACGCATTTAATACAATTTTTGCTAGAATTTTGACTTGTTAAAAGACTCCACAAAAATATTGGTTTTTATTCCACGACGTATCTCTTCCTGATAACAGCCCAAAAATAAATGTGGTACAAAAATAAACTTGGAAGATGTTTCAATTATTTGTTTAACATGATTTTTTATAATTTTAGTTCAAGGTCCAGCCAATTGGTCTTTAGTTCAGATCCAATCAGTAATTCGACTTTGAAATTTGTCTTGAAATTAATTCTAAAAAATATTAATCTATATTTATTTTCGTTTTTGCTTTGTCATCTTGCAGGCTGGAATCGATCTGAAGGAGAACCTTGTGGCCGGCGCATCACCCTGGCCATATCCATCGATGTATCATCCATATGATGCGGCATTCGCTGGCTATCCATTTAATAGGTAAGATTTGATTTTCAATTAAATTCCCCTGAGCAACCCAAAAGTACTGACAAAGGCGCGAACTCTTATGGTGGTCTCTCTGGCCTAAGGCGTTGATCGCCCCATCTGCAGCGGATCGTGAGTTGCATCCAAGCGAAGGGCAGGGGCAAGTGCGTGCAGGTGCATTCAAATGACTACCGAATCGGGTCGGGTTATGTACTTTTTTGTATTCTCCACGGAAAGTGCGTTGAAATAGTAAAAGCCATGCATATTAGCACGCATGCCCATTCCGATCTTCCATCCTCAAACACACACAATTTATTCGCTTGTAATTGATCGTATGCACGTCGGACTGAGCCTCGACTGTTGCTTCCGCCGAAACCACAAGCGCACAAGCCCACAAGTTGCTACTGTCGATAAGTACTACTTCTGGCGACTGGCTACTGCTGCTGTTGGCCACTGTGACATAAATTTCCAAACACAATTGTCGGTTAAACAATCGACAACATCCCGTCACGTCAGCCTCACGTTTCGGACAGGTACAATGCTTCCACTCATTGTTTCTACTGTAATTGACACTCATAACAAATTTTGAAAGTTGACTCATACATGCCCCCCGGACCCACGTCACTGTCCCCAAACCCCAAACCCCGAACAGTCGTTGTTGGTGTTGTCGTTATGGGTCTATCAGCAAATATATTCACGATAAATCAATTTTGAGTTATTTCGCCGTGACGTGTTGGTTACTGTGTTTTGTTTTATGTATGCGGCGTTTGCGTATACGTACTTTGGGGTGTATACAATTTACTGGCGAATTTTTTGATTCAAAATTCAAAAGGTATAACCTGCGCGAAATGCCGAGCCGAGCCGAGTCGGGCTGGGCCGGTCCGGGCCCTACCTTTTGCGACTAGGAGCGTGGCGGCGGCGACACTGTAACACAGCTTTGGCCTCGGGAATCGATCTGTAAGAATGCTAAAGAGGGAGAAAATATCAACTAGAAGATACCTTTTAATGGAGAACTTTTATAGGAGGACTCTTAGATGAAGCAGAACAATTATAAACATATTTCCAAAGACAACTTATTTATTTGAATTTGTGCCTGCGTTATTGAATTCTAAATTAATTAATTAACCAAAATAAAACCATTTTGAGGCTCAGCAAAAACAGAAATTTGCCAATACATTCGCTCAAAATATTTTATACATTTGTGGGGGCGGCAGATGCGGATTTCTAATGTTTCTAAGAAGGAACATGCACACTCTGACTGTTGCCCATAACCGCAAATACATTCTACAATCACAAATCGTATAAGCCCCCTCGTGCTGTACCGTGTAGTGGGGGGTATAATGAGCTGCTGGCAACGGCGGCACACTGATGGGAGAATTAAAAAAATATATTCAGCTGTCGTGTGATCAAAGGCAGAGTAGCTGTCTGCGCAGGTGTTTCGCACTCGGCGACTCTTCGCACTCAAACTTAAATTAATTAATGCAACAGAGCAGGCAGGCAGCATATACATATGTATATGTATATGTATATGTACATATGTATATGTATATGTAGCATCGGTTGACATTCGTTGTCAGCGTTGCAGTCACAGAGGAGCAGGGAACACTACAAATGAGACAGCTACACATGTAGATATAACTTCTCCTCCATCTGTACCTTCTCCGCTGCTGCTTTGCCTTCCCACATGGCATACCCAGAAAAGTATATTCAAACATTCACACAGCATTCACATCTGCACAATGTATGGTACATACATATATGTACGTATACATTTTATACTAAAAACGTTCATGTTAACTGCCCACAAAAAGCGATAAAGGACAGTTGTTGTATCCATCGAAATTCGCGCTGCATGCCGCAGTCAGGCACTGGGCACTGAGCACTGCTGGGGGGTACAGCAGGGGACAATGTGTCAGACCGCAAACTGCACATACATAAATGTTCCCGGCCATGCAAATGCGTTTATGATGAACAAATTTCACGCAGAAGAGAGACCAACCGACTGACCGACCGACCGCCCACCACCAATGAAGCGCTTGGACCCTTTGGCCTCTCTCGGACTGCGACAATGCCACCAGTTTAACAAATTGCAACAATTGTGTGTGAGTGTGTGTGTGTGTGGGGGAGGAGGCACATACACACACACACATACAACAAAACAGACGGTCATGGAAGGAACTTCAGGCGACAAACTGGCAACAGCTGGGTACAGGCCGTAAAGGCCAGGCTGGTCGCTTGGTCGCTCGTTCGGTCTGCATTCCATTTGCCTTTAATCACCTGCCTTGCAATTCGGGGAATGGTTTCGCCCAGTCCCATCGCTGTATTAATGTATTTGAATAACTCTTTAACCTGCTGCATTTTTGGTTCTGTGTTTCGTTTCAGTTATGGCATGGACTTGAATGGGGCTAGACGTAAGAATGCGACCCGCGAGACAACATCCACGCTGAAGGCCTGGCTGAACGAGCACAAGAAGAATCCGTATCCCACCAAGGGTGAGAAGATAATGCTGGCCATCATCACCAAGATGACGCTCACCCAGGTGTCCACGTGGTTTGCCAATGCGAGAAGAAGACTGAAAAAAGAAAACAAAATGACGTGGGAGCCAAGGAATCGTGTGGACGATGATGATGCCAATATCGATGATGATGATGACAAGAATACGGAAGAGAATGATTTGTTAGGTGAGCTTCAAACTCCTCTCGATGCACCATCGAAGCTTTCAAATACTTTATGCTAACAATTCCCTTTTCAATTTTATTCCCCATTCCCTTGCAGATGCTAAAGATTCTGGTGTGGGTTCTACAGATGATAAAGACCGTTCCGGACGCTTGGGTGATATGATGACGGATCGACCCGGCGAGAGCAACAACAGCGAGTGGTCCGAGTCGCGGCCTGGCTCGCCCAATGGCTCACCCGATCTGTATGATCGTCCAGGCAGCATGCCGCCGGGCGCCCATCCCCTGTTCCATCCTGCGGCGTTGCATCATCACTTCCGCCCGCCGGCGGGCTCACCGCCAGACATTGCCGCCTACCATCACCATCAGCAGCAACTGTTGCAGCAGCACCAGCAGGCGCAGCAGAACTCCCTGCAGACAGCCGTCGGGGGTACGGCGAAGCCGCGCATTTGGTCGCTCGCCGACATGGCCTCCAAGGACACCAGCAAAGAGTCCAGCTCGGCGCCCAAGGATGGTCTGGACAGAGCAGAGCTGCCACCGTCGCATCCGGGCTTCTATGGCCACCCTAGTCAGCAGCCGTCGCCGGGCAAGATCCTCTCCCCGCTGGCTGCCCGCATGCCCAACTATTCGCCGTATGTGCGGCCCGACCTGTACCGCGGCTTCTACGGTCCGGCGGCGGCGCATTTGAGTGCTCCCACGCAGGAGTTCCTCGAGCATCAGCGCTCCTTCAACGCCAGTTTGGCGGCGCACAATGGTCTCGGCATGAATCCGCTGCTGTGGAAGGCAGCCGTCTCGGGAGCGGCCAATGGTCCGCACTTTGCACCACTCAGCCTGACGACGACGGGCGGTATGGTCGGTGGGCCGCAGCAGCTGGCACCGCCGCCTGTGGCATCGCCGTCGGCCTCCAGTTCGTCCTCATCGATGGGCTGTGACGTGGTGCACATTCCCACATCGAGCGGACAGTCGGCTGCCCAGAATATGATGGGACCAATTTCCAGTAACTCCACCGCCTCGTCATCGTCCTCGCAGTCGGGCAAAATATCGCCGGGCGTGAATGTGACTTCGCTGTGCGCAAAGCCATGACCCCAATCGTCACCATGTGCGTCCCCAGATCCGACGGCGATGGTTAACCATGGCGCAGCAGCGGGAGGAGTAGCCTCCCCAATCTCTGCCTTTCGCTCCCTAATTGCTTTTCGGGAGCAACATCTGCAGCAGCAGACGCCAAAGCTGACGCTGCTGCGGCCATAATGGGGCTGTCGCTGATCGCCTACTGATCGCAGGAACCGGGCAAAGGAAAGGTATCATAAATAATACACTTTCGGACAATAATTTACAATGTGATTATTCGGTATTTTGATTAAAGCCGCTTTATACCAAATAGCAAGCAACAAAAGAAAGAAAACCAGCTGAAACATGGCGCGGTTCGGGCATTTGGCATTGAGAGAAAGAAACCCAAATCCCAACCGCCGCTGCACCACCCTTCCTACCCCTGACGTTGTGCAATTTTTTGTGGAGAACGATAGTCCAAAAATCATTTGAAACTAATTTAATTTTAATTAAATACACACACACAAACCAACACACACACACACACACACTTATGCAATCAGAGCTTATAGGATGTAAATTTTTGAGAAAATATAGCAGGGGGCGACCATCATCAATGAGAAAAAATAAATAAACTACTCGACAAAACTAAAAAAAAAAACATAACCAAAAGAAAGAAGGGAGTAATAAAAAGAGACACCCCTTAGAACAGCTTATAGAGGTGCACTTTCTACCCATCTATAACTGTCAGTTAATCAATTTTATGATTTTAATTTGAGTTAGTTCTAAGCTTGGGCTTAGTTTTGGTGGCTAGCTCATTGCGGAACTTCTAAAGGAAACCTGGCGGGTTAGGACATAAAACATATCAACCAGAAGCGATCACTTATCATCAGTCCAGAGTCCAGGGTCCAGTCCGAGAGCCCCGAGCCTTAACCCCAAGCCAAATGTACACGAGCAATCATTGATTTTTAGCAGCTGTTATCGTATTGTTTTTATCGTCTTAAGTTTTTTGAAAAAATTGTTCCTGTCGTTTGTAAACATAATTTATTCTACTTAATGTGTACCATAATTTTCGTCTGTAGTGTCTGTAATTATTTCCTAAACTATAGATCTATGTACGATGTACGATGTACGATGTACGAGTATTCGATGTACGTATGTATGCACAAGTTGTAAGTATGTAAGCTCGCGTAATTATAGCTCCCTAAGCGTATAGTGTAAATTAGTAAAGCAAAACTGTATATAAATACCAACAACAACAATAATAAAAAGAAAAACGATAAAGAGATAAATTCAAAAAACAACAAACGCCCGATTATTCCATCAAGCAATCAATCAGCGCCCATGGGGGACAACAATCACAGGAATTACTCCAACATATAGTCTCATCAATTTTTGTCTAATAAAGATCAAAGTATTGAGTAAAAAGTATGGGATGATTCTGGCATAATGATTCGAGATTTGCAGAGCAATTTACCCAACACAAGAAGCCAGAAGGAAACTCTTTAGATGCAAATAAAAGCTGCCAGAGTCACACATTATTAAATTGATCATTCAGGTATCCTTTTTGTTTCACATCATCAAATGGTTAGCTGGGGCTGCTAGAGCTACAGAAATTCCAAAAGCGCCCCCCGACAGTGGATAAATGTATCGCAAAAACATAAAGGAATTAAATATAGTATTAGTAATGTACACAAGACATAGCTATAAAGAACTAACTGAAGAAAAAGGCACACACAAAAGTGTGTAAATAAATTGGAAACATATAAAAACTGACGGTACGTTTTATTTGTAGACTAAACTCCAGTAAAAGTCAATTCAAAAAGGGAATCAATATTTAAAACAATAATAAAGTCCACAGAAGGCTTTCATTTTGTTGTCATAAATGGATGTTCAGATTTTAATTCTCGGGTATTTTTGCTGTTTAAGCATAGTTGTTGGCTTTGCTAGAAGCGGCGTTTTCCTGTGTCACTGACCGGAAACGCATTCGCAAACATAAACAAAACAACGGAGGAGCAGTGTGAGCACAAAACTTATGAATGGCACTGTGTAGTAGCAGAAGGTGCGCTCGGTGGGGTGTGCCATTTTTTATTGAGTTAGTTTTGAACCAAAAAAAAGAGAGCAATGCAAAATGATCCTGGTACTCAGACTGCGAGTAGCAATGGGATGGCTCAGCAAGAGGAATGTGAGAGTATTCCTTCTCAAGTTCAAGACACGCTCAAAATTGATATTTACTTCTCAAAATATAATGCATAATATCTTACTTCAATCAAATCGTACCTGCCCCGAGGGCAACGCAACTCAATCAAAGCAATCCAAGCTCCTAATGGAAATAATAGAACGCAGACAACAACAACGAAAAATCAGAAAAACCAGTAGCAGCCAAAAAGGTGAACCGAAATGCTAAGCTGACATCTGTTCCTATGAAGTAGATTATTGATTCCAGAGCGTATAACGCTTTGTTGTGTCTCTGTTTTCTGGTCGGGCTGTTTGCTGCATTGTCGAGTCACACAAAAAGCCTTTGCGCCTCCAAAAATATCAAAATCTGAAATTGTCAGCGCCGTTAAGAGTCAATGGGCATTGGGAAATTGGAACGGATTCGGGCTGTCAGCTTTATGCTTCAGTCTTGTATCTTCTTATAGTTTTAACATGAGAATAATTTAATTTTTACAGATGCGACGCGGCGTGGCGTGTCGTGTATAATTTACATCACAAAACACAAACTTTCTTCTCAGGGCCAGCTTAGGGAAATTCCAATATTATGTCTCCATTTGAAGTTCCAAGGCAAACTAATCGGTTTAGTGCATTCTCAAAGCCCACAGATCACAGTGCATAGTGAGCTGCAGCTACTGTATAGTAAGTGTATAACCACGTCTTATTGATAAGCTGTCGACATTCGTTCCATGGAGAATTATGACCTTTATAATTTTCCAGCTTAGGCTTGTTTTCCGATTGTTTGCATTAATTTCTTTGGGCGCTCCACAATGGGGGATTGGTCACGGTAGCGTTTCGCGTAACAAAAATTCGAGTAATCACCAAATAAAAGATATGTTTTGTGCGCTTATAAAGTGATTTCTCTTGCCCACGGATGTGTGTGGGATATGTGAATAAAATTCTACATATCTTTGGGAAGAGCATTTTACAATGATTGAAATGTTATACATTCCACCATCAAGGCGTATATTTAAGTACTCTGCTGCCCTGAATGTGTTTTTAAAAATTGTCCGAGGGTGTAGCCTACAATTATGCTAATCTTAGCAGCCAGCCAGCCACACTCGACATACGCGAGTAAGAACATGTGTTTCAACCATTTAGCACATTTGCCTTGGAAGCTTCACTTACCATCCGGAGCATACGGACTTGGCGTTATCCCTGAAGATACCTCAAAAACTGGCAAACAAATAAAATGATAATGACATGTTATTATGCAGACAACGATCACACTGAAACCTTAAACAATGATGAGACTGAGGGAACCGAAGGCACTGTAGCGACTCACTCACTCGTGGAGTCAATAGTTGATGTGTTCAGTGCAGCATTTTTCGCGCAGAAGCAAAATCCACATTTCCGTGTTCAACCAAGTGGAACCGAAACTCAAAAACATGTCCAAACCTTTCAACCAAAGACACTTCATTGTTTTTAACTGAAATTAAATGTAGGAACATCTTAATCATAGGTGGCTCACATATCATATCTTATATTTATTTTCTTCATTTGTTTTGAGGTAAGGTTTGAGGTAATTTATAATGCAATTTCTGCACTGGATTTTGGCCTTTTCTCTACTGAGATGAATTATTGGAACCAAAGGTTCCAGAAATATATTTTCTTAATTTTCTTACACCTCTGCATAACTGAATAAATAAAATAAATATTTTCCTGCGATCTACCAAGTAGCAAGTCTTGTTTTTATCCCAGCAACTTGCATCTACACAAGTCCACATGTGTATGTACATTGTGCATTGCCAAAAGGGGTGAACGCGGGTAATTATAATGCGGTATATCAACAATAATTTTGTTAATGGTGTCACAAATATTTTGACACGTGGCTGAGTGTACGGCTTCCGCGGCTTTCCTTTGATTTAAACCGTATTTTTGCAGGGAAAAATAAAGAGATCAAAGAGATCGTTTCCTGCTCTCATATTTACCTCAATTATAGTTGTACTGGCCTGTGCAAGAGTGTATATATCTGTGGCATACATGAATTTGCCAGAAACTAAACGGAAACCGAACATATACTTGGCTGAGTGCTGACTAAGATAAACTGCCTGGCAATGGGCACCGATGAGAACACAACAGCAGACTTGATTTCTTTCACTCTTTTTGTTGCTCAAATTGACTGAAATGTTCCACTGTCGTCACCGCGGGAGGAGCGTAACTGGGATTTACTGCAGATTGCTGACTGCTGACTGCTGACTGCTGTTTGGGTGCGAGTCGATCGTCGCCTGATCGTCAGAACACAACGATACAAAACAAAACAAAACAAAACACAACATGAGCTCTTGTTCATTGCCACATGTGGGTGGAGAGTGTCTGTGGTACAAGTATCTGGCCTGGTGGTGGTGCTAGGAAGGAGCCTACCACTCGGCACCCTCAATGATTGCCACATTTCAATGGCTCTCGCAAGAGATTGCTGTCGCTGATATCGCCACAAACTCGGATGTTCCTCTTCCTTGCATGTCGTGAGTGTGTCAGCGTTTTCGCGCTGTGCAGACAAAATTAAGCGGCAACCAATCATTGTTATATACTCGTATATATAATGCTCAAGCGACTGTAGGTTGTGTGTTGCAAAAGTTGTAAATTATCAAGCACTGCCATCAAAATCGAATCAGGCCAATTAAATTTGAATACAATCCGTTTTGTGACGTTCCACAGCAGATATCCCAAGGGGTACTCCACTCATTGATGCACTTGGCAAAACCGGTTTAGCGACTCAATCGTTGCAGTCTATAACTCACTCTTTCACTCACTCTTTTCCTTTATGATTGTTTGTCACATTTGGAATCAGTGCTGCTCAGTGCGCAGACAGGCAGTCAGCATAATATCTGTATCAAATGATTGGCTGTTTATATAGCAATACTTGGTAATAGTTCTATAGGAGCCAAGGCAATTTGTTTGTATGTAAAGTAAGTGCTACAGGCCGCTGCTACATGCTTCCCTATGGGGGCAAACTGAATTTGTTGTCAGCGTGATCGCGCCACATGAACATGATGATTCTGTTGATGTGGATGATCTTAATCAGGCATCATCTTCTACGAAGGACGCAGAGAGGGCCTCGTTAAGTGCATGCATACCCATATCATCGCATTGTCGTTGTCGGGCCAAAGTTTTTGGCTGGACAGACCAGACAGACCAGACAGAGCGATACGGAGAGAGGTGTGTGTGCGTCAGATGCTTAATTTAAATTACTCAAGGGGCGGGACAAGCGAGTCGGAGTCGACTGGAGTGGAGACTTCGAGCAGAGGCACAGCATGAGTAGCTGCGATTTGACACCTCGACTGACAGCTGGAATTGGGGAAAATTATTGAGCACATTGGAGAGCACAAGGGGGCGCCCATTAGAGATGGGCAATGCCGTAAAAAGAAAACAACTCACTTCCCCAAAGAACCTAAAGACTTGAGTGTGGTGTGCGGTGTGCGGTGTGTGTCGAGGCAGTTGCACAGTTGGAACTGGAAGTGGAAGTGGAAGTTGTGAACAGGAGAGACAAGACCGAGCCAGACCGCTAATTTATTCCACATAAATTAGTCATATAATTAAAATGTTTATACAAACCTCTCTCTCTCTCTCTCTCTCTCTCTCTCTCGCCGTTGTGCTTCACTTGAAGCGTGGGGCTTTACGATTCCACAAAACAGATAATCAAATATTTTGTAACTCAATCCGCCCATCATTTCTGTACACGTCTGCACACCCAACACACACACACACACGCGCGAATGCCACCTCGTACTCGCACTCGTATATTGTACATCCAACCAACAACTCGGATGGCATGAAATTCTATCTTTTATAAGCGGCTACTGGTGGCGCATTCATTTAGATGTATTTAAGAGCCCAGCAGAAAGCAATTTCAATGCCATAAAGTTGAGGAGTTCCCAGTTTTGTCTTTATTTTTGGAAAGTTTTTCCATCAGTCTCTAGAGAGTGCATCAGAGAACTGCTGTTTGCTAATAAACAATCAGCTCCTACCTTAGAAACTCTCTTTGCTTTCATCGTTCCTGCCTGCAGCCTCTGGGT